CAATCGCATGGCGCCAGTTATACGGAGGTCTCCGTTCAGAGACACACTAACGTAGTGTAATTCATCTCATCGGTACGGGTCGAGTAACACTGGGGAGTACAGGTTTTATCGAATTTTCCTCTCTAAATCCTTAGTGTTCTGTTATGTCAATAAGATTATCAACAACAAAACAGTTTCATCTCGGGAAGGGCATGATAAAGTACCACGTACCATGGTCTTGGTATTTTTTTTTCTCCCCCCAACTACTGATTTATCTGTAGTTCGTTGATGATTTTCGTTGAAGCATCTCCATCCATTCTCACCACATAACTAAGTCAGCGAAGCCGTTGGATGTTAATTCGATAAATAATATGAATGACCTGATAAGGCTCGTACAGCTCGTGGTTCATTCAAATGCAGTAGTCATGGTTGGGTATACATTCATTTAACCATATTTTGCAGATAAGCTAATCCATGGTTTCCATAAATACATCACCACCGGCTTTGAATAATTCTGTATGTACGCCAACTTTCGCAATCGTGAGTAGGGAGTAAAAGATATGTCCCCATCGTTTACCGGTGTTATAGAGACTGGAGGGTTGATTATTTAATCGGCTAGAGACTTAAGAGCCGGTAGTTGCGGCTGTTACTCGTGGTAGCATCTTACCGACGTCAAATCCTATATGTGTACAATACCGTATATTGTTGGTAAAACTAACCTGCATCTGTACCTTGGGCACGAGAAAGTAGTGATCTGAGTCGATAATTGAAATATAGAATGAACGTACATTCAGCAAACTTCAAGCGCGCTTTGCATTAATCACAAAGTAACTAATCTGCTTTCGTATTGATTAGTAGGGAGATAAGGAGGCACACACTACCATGTTTTATGCCGCAGCAAATTCACATGGAAACTATTTGAGAACTTGGATTAAAGACAACAAGGATTGCGCTGGCATTTTCCAGGTTAAATGCAATCAGATAAGTTGTCTGATTCACATTTTTCTGTCGGGCTTTCATATCTATGAGATACTTAGTAGAAAGATGGGAAATAATTTTTATGTCTGAAACTTCTTTTATATTTACAGTTATCAAAGTCTTACCTTACCCCTCACCATATTTCATTTGTATATGTATGCTATAGTGTGTTATGGACGTTACGATCATAGGAAATCACAACCAAATTTAACACAACAAAATATTTACACTAGTCCCAGCCGCTGCCCTCTCCTCTTGAGCGTATGAACACGAATGAACGAATGAATACGCACAACTGCTAGTGTCCTTTTTATGCATTTTTTGCCTGTCACTGTTCCGAGCCGTTCACAAGTTCTAATGTGTGTTTTCGGCTGGTGCTGCCACAGTAAAAATATTGCCAGAGAAACTTAGTAATATATCTGGTAATCTCATATCTCACATCTCTCAGCTCTTTGGTTCTTCTTAATGAAATTTTATTGGCTTTTTTTGTAGGGGAACACAAAATCAGTAAACATCGGAGAAAATGTGTAGAAATTAATATGAGAGAATTATTGCAAACATGAACCCATATAATCTCCATTAATCACTCACATCACTATATTTGTGCACTTCATAAGCACATGTTATAATGTGTTTACACTTTGACTTACTTAACCTCTCAAACATACTCCCATATGGATTTTGTTTGAAAAATGTTAAGTTTTGCTGCATAATTGTCGAGTATAAAGCCGAAGTGTGAAATTCCAACCAAGTCTCATGTGTTATAACAAAATTTGTAGGCATGTCATGCAGACTTCCATATGTAAATTAAGATATCTTAATTTTTCGACAGTTGCTAGTTTATTTACGATATTAATCGAATTTTGGTTAAACTCTACACACATTTTTTTCCTGTTCAAATCATTAAAGTGTAAATATCACGGAGTGGCACGCAAGTTTTAAAAATGACTACATTGTTTATTCTTATGGTGATCGTCAGCAAGATTGAAAATGAGAGGACATTATAAGTAAACACTACATTTAATAATTCTCATCGTTCCATCTATTTCTTTGTTTCACTAACAACGAAACTACGCTTGGTCGCATTATATTGATTATTTCCTACAGTCAAAGACGGAAGACGTTGGTTTCGATTCCATTCGAGTTGCCTGAAAAAAGTTATTGTGGAATTATTAAAGATGCAAATTATAATTGTATAAGTTGAAAAAGTTGTATATAGTAAAGTTGTATACAAATTTGTTGTATTTGTGGTATTTGTGTGCAAATGATCGAAGAGACGCTAGTTATGTGAGTAAAATATGTATAACGGGACAAAATGTCATGTTATTTATAATTAAAGCTTGAGTACATACACACATATAGACATTTGTTGCAATGCTTCATAATGCTACAATCGAAATACCTATTAAAACACATTAGTTAGTAATACTTGATCTGTCGGATCAGATGTTGCGAGTGTCGGTTATAATGATACGAATATTCATAATACATATTTCCAGCAACAGGTATTGTAGATAAGAATTTGTTTCTTTTATCACAACAACCAGAAACACTATATCCTCACCTTATGCGACCGCAACGGGCACTCATAGTTCCGCAGCTGAGCTGAGTTTTTTGAGCTGAAGATCAACTTTTGCAGTTGTCTTAATATTGTTGAATGTCTTAAATATCATTAAAAGTCACGTAACATATTGTGGTTTTAATTAGCGGGAGATCATATCTGTAATCGGCATTGCAAGTTTAGACCGTTTTCATGCGTTATTTTATAAAGATCAGTGCAGACTTTTATTACTAATCCTGCAGTGCAGTTTTTTTTTATCGTGATATCTATATATTTCAATATTATAGTAAATTTAAAACAAATATATTTATATATACGTTTAAGTATAAATCTTATTATTTAATTTTTATTTGGAGTTTAAGAACACACTAATAAGCAATCTCGCAAATGCTCGTTCGGCAGACTCTTATTACTAGATTGTGAATTTTACCCACTTTATCCTCAGATATCACCACATAAGGCGTTTTGAACACTCAGAATTTTTTATGTCCATAAAGAAAAAACGCAACAGTCGATCACTTCCAAATCTTTTCATATGCAGATCCAGAGTTTAAATATTGCTTATGAAGATTTTTTTGGTTTCAGAAGCGTTTATTTGTGATCACACACAAATCTCGCACTAAAAAATACTCTTGACTTAGACTTTTAAGTATCATCAATTTTCAAAATATATAGTTATTAATATTATTACAAAATGAGTTAAAATTTTGACGCAGTTATCATCAACTTATCAAATGATCAAATAAATAGTTATCAGTTAATGGCGAATCAATAAATTAATAAATATAACGAACCTTTTGGAATATATAAGAAGCTAACCTTATAAAGCATCTTTTTCTATATAGGTATTAGCTTCGTCAGTATTTCATGTTTATTAATTAATGTTCATTAATTGAGCTTCAATTAATTTATCTCTTGTCCTTAATGGAGTTTATACTGCAAAATTAGTTGCAGCATATCTTTTATCTCTTATGATCTGTTCAATGTATGCAATTTTTCGTCGTTTTATACTGTAAAATGTAATGTTGTCTATTGTTATTCTAAGCATCTTAAATGCTTTCAGTTAGATCGTGTTGTTGTTGTTGTTTTGTGCTTGCAGAGATCTGTAGAGTAGGTGAGATTCTTTGAATCACATTACGAATACATGGGTTTGGATGTAGTTGTGTAAGAGGTGTGGGTATTGTAAAGAATTGTAAGTGGATTGGGGATTGGGTGAGACTTGAATTGAAGTTAACTAGGAGCAAGATAGAAAAATCTAGCCACTTCTATGATGACGATTTCAAAGGTTGATTAGGCTTAGGTTTACATGCGCGATAGTTTAAGAGAACAGATAGCAGAAGAACAGATGTTATGTAAGGGTATAGCTGAAGTAGAGCTGACGCATTTATGTGTGATAAGTAATTGTTTAGTATAAAGATAAATTCAAGAACGCCCGGTCAGGGGCGTAGCCTGAGCTACTAATCGAATTCGACAACCACTAATCGAATTCGGTTCGCCACTCCGAAAAATTATTACACAAGCAGATATGTCTTCACTTCCTACTTCAATATTGACAATGCCTGCTGTTGTATATTTGTCTAGACGTCTCTTTTGGCTTACAATTATAAAATTTGTCTTATCTGTGTTGATATTGAGTTTATAATATTTGCTCTAGGTACAGATTTAAGTAATTAATTGTTAAATGTATTTTATTATATTAGTTATTATGGTCATATTGTTCGCATATATATAATACGATACTATAAACTATATAAAAAGATGTAATGATAAATTTATTTTTGCCGAAACTTCGATTCGAATTTTCAACTATATTTATAAATTTCTTTCTACCTTTAAATACAATGCATTTAGACTTTGATGGAAAGCTTATTTTTATCAAATATTTTATATAGGTTATACTTTATATGCTCTTCAATCTGGGTCAAAGTGAAATAACCATAATATAGACACATCTGTGTGGGCGGGTCCAAAAGCAAATTTTTTATAAATTAGTATATGGATAAATGATCAACATCCAGACAAATAGACGAACATTGCTAAATATGTTTGTCATATCATGTCGATCATATGTATATCAATATGGTTTCTATGGTTCCCGACTAATTTTTTTTGCGTTACAAACATTTTGATAAGCTTAATATATCTATTGTTTATAACATCGTGATGTAGATTTTTTGAAATTATTCAAATATTTTACGATATTGTATTTTCAGAAATATAAAATATTAAAATGGCTGGGAGAAGTCGTGGAAAATTATTCAACTTACTCTCCGACAATGATTGCTCTATAACCACTGAATACCGCAATTTGCAATCACAATTTTCCTCAATTACTTCAAGGTTAGATGCTACTTCTATTTCAGTAATTTCTGAAGGTGCTACTTCAACAGCCCGTGAAGTTGCATTTCGACATGTGGAAGGTGTTGGAAGGCGATCAAAACTTTTTGCATACATGTTAGGAAACATAAATATTTGTACAAAGATGGAAGAAAGCAATCAGCCACAAAATAGAGCACAAATTTATACTCAGGAAGAAATTCCAACATGGAACGGAACGGAAGTTGAAAACCAGGGAGATTATATTGGTACTGAAGATAATTTAATCACAAATTGTATTTACTTTAAAGTTGCGTATTCTTAGTAATATTTGCAAACAATCTTTTTATTTGGAATGGAAAGATAGTTTGATGTAAGCGATTCTGAAAATTTAGATTTCTAAGTAAAAATTAATGAGAAATTCATCGGGAGAATTTGAGTTTCTCAATAGAATTTCATGATGAATTTAAATCAAAAATATAAATTGAAGGTTCTAAAAATATTGTTCGAATAATAAAGATAACGCCAAATATTTCGAGTCCATCATATATAGATGAGTGTGTTTATTTAAAAAAAATTGCTTTCTTTTATAAAAAATGGCAACAGTGAATATCTATAGCTTATCCTAGAGCATCATATAATCTTATTCCAGTATAGTGTCGAACAATTGTGCCTTGTTTTCTTTAATAAGCTTGCTTTTTTCAAATGGATCCACGTATAATAAATATTTTAAATTTCAAAGAAAACTGCTAATGCTTCACAACTTTTAATTCTGTATATTCTGGTCTATATATTATAGATTGGCTACCTCTAAATGTTTAAACAAATCTGCGCAATAATTGGTTTATGTTCTTCGTAGATGCATAGATATCATCTGTGCAGATTACCCTACCATTTTAAATACATTTAAGATTTAAGATTCATGTGCAATATGATATTTAACATGTATGACTTGATTACTTCTATAACTACATCTATAACTACATCTATATAGACAGAATTTTGTTAAATATATATGTGTTTTGGATTTAGTGAAGTTATTTAAAAATAAAGTTGAGAATAAAATTTGAGTTTATAGTAAATGGTATGGACGTAAATAAGAAGTACACAGGGATGGTAAATATGTTCCTAAAAGTGTGTCCGAATAATCTTCCATATTAATAAGGAGACCCAAAAACTAATAGCCCCTAAATAAATCGATGACGATATGCATGCGATTTTATATGTGTGTAAAAGTGTATATTAAATAGAACAGTTTTTAGTTTAAGTTTTTTATATATTTATTTCGATTACATTAAATATAAAATTCTATATTAACTTTTTTATATTACAGGTATTAAGGTACCTATAGTTGCCAACTATATCAAACTTAATGTAATGCCGGATACTGAAGTCTATGAATATAACATCAAATTCACTCCAAATATTGAAGTAAATAGCTTGAAAAGTAAATATCTTTCTGACCATGTAGAAATTTTTGGCAAAACAAAGTTGATCAATGGATCACAATTGTTATTGCCATAGTTATTACCAAATGTCCAAATGACACTTATTTCTAGAAATGATAGAGATGGTTCCGACGTTGAGATACAAATTACTTTTAAACAAAAAAATCAGTAAAAGATGTATTGGATATTTACAATATAATATTTGATAGAACCATGAAATCATTAAATTATATTCGTGTTGGTAAAAATCACTTTGATCCCACAAATCCCAAAATAATGTCAAATGCAAAATTAGAAATTGGGCCTGAATATGCGACTGCAGTAACTGAATGCGAAGGAGGATTAATGCTTTGTTTTAATCTATCTCTTCGCTGGCTTGATCAAGTAACTGTTCTAGAAGTGGTTACTGAAATACATCAAATGAAATCATCAGAATTTGAAGTTAATGCAAGAAAGGCCTTACTTGGTTGTGTAGTAATGACAAGTTATAGCAATAAGACGTACAGAATTGATGAAATAAATTTTGATACTAACACTCTTGCTGAATTTGATATGGACGGACAAAAAATTTCATTTGTTGATGACTATTACAAAAGTCATAATGTAGATATTAAGGATAAAAAGCAACCACTTTTAGTAACCACGAAAACTTACACTCGTCCCGAGAACACAGTTCAGGAATGTGTGTTTTGTTTGGTTCCAGAATTGTGTCGTCTAACTGGTCTTCAAGATAATTTACGATCAGATTCTAAATTAATGCGTGAAATCGCCACATTCACAAGAGCATCGCCAAATCAACAATTGTTGTGTTTAGAAAAATTTATTGATAATGTAAATAAGAGTACAGAAGCGAAATTAATGTTATCATGCTGGGGTTTATCTCTCGCTAAAACACCACAACCATTGGTGGGTAGAGTATTAGGAGAAAACAAGTGTATTTTGGATCAAAACGTTTCGGCTGTGGTGTGTCTACCGATTTTGGAAAACACGCGTCAAATAATTACTTACTGAATCCAATAAATATGGTGGATTGGATATTAAATTATTGTAAAAGAGACGAAACACATTTTTAGACCAATATGAAAAGTGTACTGACGTAATGGGAATAAAAGTACAAAGACCTAAAACAGTAGTGCTGGATAGCGACCGTATTGATAATTTAGCAATAGCTTTACGGAAGGCAATTACCAAACAAACTCAAATCGTTGTTAGCATATTTTCAAGCCACCGAGAAGATAGATATGCGACTATAAAAAAGCTTTGTTGCACTGAATTTCCAGTTCCCTCTCAGGTTTGTTAAGTTTAATATTATATTCATAATTTCAAGAAATATTTAAAAAATTTGTTTTGAGATAATATTATTAAACCATAACTACAGATAAATTTTATTGATAAAATGTTTGATGGCCAGATTTATTATTGCGCCATACTAAATTATTTAACAGAATAAAATGTTGAAATGAATAGTACAATATGAAACAAGAACATTTTTAAATAAACAACAAACTAGAACATTATTTTTGTAGTTTTGAAATGATTGTTAATTAATTTGTATGTATACTTCAAATATACATACTTGCTCTCCTCAATCTTCACAAGTATGGCAGTACTTTTGAAGTGATATGAGATAAATCACAGGATATTTGTGAAAGCGAATTCAAGAACCTTATTTTGCTCTTTAAAATTAGTTCGCAGCAATTGGCTTTTAAGGTATGTGCTCAATTCCCCTTTTCCTTATGGAAGAACATTGTTAGACAGCTATCAAATTTATGAACGGACCAGTCAAGTTCCCCCACCTCATCATATTCGTGTATCATCAATACGTTCAGAACTTTATAAATGATATACAATTTCACATGCCGATTATTAACGATAACTTGGAATACTGCTCCTTTATTGTGCACTTCTGGCGTGTATCCAAATCGTAAAGCTATTTTACATATGCAGTCCATTAAATAACTATTCTAGCAAACAATTTTATAGCACAGAAAAATTACACAAAAACAATATTTTAAAAGTATATTTCGGTCAGATGTTTTATTTAGTGAGGTTTCCCTTGTAATATAATCTATACCTGACGAAATGAGAAAAATCGTTCATTACTTTACTATTACATTACATTCGTCCACAAAATGAAATAGCTTTAACTCTGTCGTTGGGAATCGCCATTGCCATTGGATGTACATTTTACCGAAGTACTAATATGTAATATTTCAAAAGGTTTCGTTATGGCGAAAGTTCCGCAAAGATGGAAAGCTATTATCTGGAAAAGATGCACCAAAGCTTATAAGAGAACAAATAAAGCGTCAAATCCAACTGTGACAGATCTACTTTTATATATACACCATTTGGCCAGAGATCTTATTCTGTGACGGAAAAATATTCGAAAACTAGCATCTACGATCTTAACACAACTATTAACAATATTGATAATGGAAGAGTTCCGATTGACCCTGCCATTAACCCAAATTTTTTTCTATTTTCTTAAGTAGCAGTGATGATGTCACATCATTTGTCTTCTGTGAGACGTAGAAACGCACGCAGGGTATAGCTTGTTATATATACATAATATAAATTAAAATACGTTTAAATACAATATAAAATAAATTTTTTATTTGTTTATTAAATATTTTTGTGATTTATTAATTTAATAAATGTATAATTATTATTTTGCAGGTTATAATTGCAAAAACCGTACAAAATCGAGTAAAAGCCAGATCAACAGTTCAAAAGATCGCGTTACGTAAGTTCTTCAAATAACACGTATTCAAAGTGGTTCAGTCAAGTTTTTATCCACAAGCCTTAAGAAGAAATCATCAGAGGATATTGTGGAATTTTAATTGAAGCTATCGCTAGTTATAAGAAATATAATAAATGTTTCCCAAACAATATTATAATATATAGGTAAGAATTTATAATATTATTGTATATAATTAAAAAGTTAATTCAAGTTAATTATATTATCCATTCTTAAGTTAGAGACATATAAGTAGTACCCAACCAATCAACGAGTTATGTTTGTTCTATATGTTATGTTTGCTGTCTATATTTTTGACTAGACCTACAAAAATCACTGGTTTGTATGTGTTGTTTTCGTATTTACTTTACATCAGTTGCGAGAGTTTATCAGTTTTTATAAACCCTTTAACTTGTCAACAGCTAAAATATTTCAGTTGTGTCCATAGTTCTTATAAGAAAATGTATACTATACTAGGGACCTGATCTTTTTAAAAAAATCACATCTATTAAATCGTTAAGCAAGCACTCAATACCATTCAAGCCAACATCAGTTGAATTATTGGGTAAATATGTTTTAGTATGAAACAGAAATTATTATTATCTTTGAGTGAAAACATAATGAACTTATATCTAAATTAAAGAAATTAAACTGGCAGTTTAAAATCAATTTTCTATTTAAATTGATGGCAATTATCATACCTAGCAGCTCTCACACACTGTAATGCGAAGTAATTGCTCAGTGCTTGCACAAGCAGAAGTAGAATTTGTCCAACATTTATGTCAAATCTCCTACAGATTCCTATCCTACAGATTTTAACATTTTCCGTGATTTGCAAGGAAATGTAAACAGCAAAACGGAGGAAAAATGAATAGTTATTGCAAACAACACAAATTCAATCCGATTACCAAATAGCTCGCACACAAGGTAACGTAATGCAATTGCTGAACGCTTGTACAAGTAGAAAATAAAATTTTCCCTACGTTTTTGTAGGGGATTTTACTTATGCATAAAGCAAAATTTTATTGATTCTTTCATTTCCCTTTATTTTTATTTGAACTACAATTGTTGAATGTACTGTTTTCTTAAAGATTAATAATCAATGTTAAGGTTATTTACGGAAATGTGTAGTCTTTATTAGCAGTTTAATATAAAACCTAGAGAAAAAATATGAAAAATTGGCTAATAAGGCACCATAATGGTAAATGAGAGTGTAGTACTATTCTGTTACTTTTACACAAAAAAAAATTGATAAAATCGCGTCATAAGAAGAGCGAACCTTAAAAGAGCATAAAGCGAAATGTGATTTTCTTATAATAGCCAATAAGTTCCAACTGAATAAAAAATGAATAATTCCCTATATATACGTATATATTTCTTTGTGTTTTTTAACCAAACATCATCAAAAATCACTGCAATATTTCAAACAATGTAAATAATATACTGAACGTAAAGTTATAAAAAATTAAATATATTAAATATGTTCAATAAGTACAGGAATAAACAGAAACTATCATTACAAATCAAATTACATGAAGACTACACAGACTAGATATTGACGAGTTTCATACAATTTTTCTCTCACTTTTTTGTGTAGATTTACAAACTTTTTGAATTTTGGAACTCGGGAAAATTTATTGTTGAGCTCAATGATACGAACTTTTCAAACGTTTAGGCAAAGAATAATCTCCCTTAGTTGGTGTAACTTTGCTTAGAAAAGCATCTTCGCATAGCATTTCTTCACAAATATTTCCTAGATCAAGTCTTGACGAAGTTGCTCTTGCTTCGACAATATTTACACTGTTTTCAGCACCTTCCTTTTCTGCACTTTTTTTACGAAACTGAAAATTACAATTAATAATATATTAATACTGCTTACTAACATATATTTAAAATATTACACTACCTCATTCATGAACCATTTAGTCTGCTTATTCTCTGACTTGCTCTCTGATTCCATTTTTCCACGAAATTCTATATCGGAGTAATGTGCCTCAGTTAGAAATGTATAGATATTCTTTACGTTATTTGCGCAATTTTGACATAACATTGTCACCGACCCATCACCAGATTTTACATTTAGCTGCGTTATAAATGCAAATACGTCATAATAACTGAGTTCATCAGTAAATATCGACTGCATATCAATATACTCTCGAGCTGTCAAGGTCATGCACGCTCTGCATTGTATTTTAATTTTATCCATTTTCCTTATTAACCAAGAAGACTTCGACACTCAAATCAAATGACGTTCGTCTGCGAAAGATAGAGGTTCGGGCTTCGCATTGAATAGATGGTGCGGTTTGTCACGTGTATAACAGAGTTGCATCTCTATTAACGCATATTTTCAGTACTGTACTTAAGAAAAGGTATTTATTTAGGCCGTGTGCGAGTTCGAGTAAATTGAGGTAGGTTAGGTCAGGTTACTGGGGCCGTCCGAAGACTCACTTAGACCATGAGGTCCATTGTGATACCCTAAGAATTTGACACCTGTCCCTATAACCACTTGGTATTGGCTACAAAGCCATTAATACGAGCTATGGAAATAGAATCTAGCTCTCTTAATGAATAGAAAAAGTGCGACCCTAAGTAGGATATTAAATTGAGGTAAAGTCAATTGAAATTTCCTAAGCATTCTTTGAACTCCATTTATTTAAATTTATTTATTCCACTTATTTATTATTTTTCTGTTAGAAGTATTCATATATATTTTTTAAAATGTTCATAGAGCTAAAACTAAATTTACCTAATTTTTATCTAATTTACCCTACTTGAAATTCTGGTAAATGCCAACGTTATGCCAACATACTGACATAGTTTACTATTTCCCTTAATTTGTCATCAATTTACTCGAACTCGCACACAGCCTAAATGAGGCTTAGGGATACTATGTTTACATTACGAACTTTAATCAACGCACTTCGCTAAAGTTAATTTAGAGTCTTCATTATCGTTTTGGGTTTTCATTTTGAAATTTTTTTTGTTTTAAAAAAATTAAAAATGATGAACAGAAATGCATATTATTTATAAAATCGTGAAAAGTGTTTCGATTGTTATATAAACATTAGATACCTGATGCGTATTTTTAAAATCATACGAAGAAAAAATTAGCATATATTTATTTTTTCAAAGTTTATTTCTAGAAAAACCTAGAAACGGTACTAATTTGCACGCAAATACTAAGTGTTATCAAAAATTTCAACCTCCGTAGTATAGAAAATATGCTGAAGAAATAGAATTAATAAATATCATTTTAATACTTCAACTCAAATATTAAATACCTCTGAAAAAACGTTCAACAAACAAATCATTTTTTTAAAATTTATTCATAAATAACAATCTAGCTTTCATAGCAACGTTGCTAACTTGGCACTAACAATATATTAACTCTGTTCCACGAGCTACTCGTAGTAAAGCTCAAGTAAAACACAAGTAAAGTACAAACTGAGAGCGTAACACAAACTATGTACCAAATTACGCTCTTTACCCAGATTTTCATGGAACAAGTTTGTGTAAAGTCTGGTGAGAACACCAGTGCTGCGCAAATACACAATACAAAATGGATTATTAATTCTGATCTCCTTTTAAGAAACCCACCTTGCAACTAATAAAAGTAATGTCTAGCTATCCGTAATTCCACAATTAAGAGAATGATAATTCGTTTAGGAGGTATCGGTTAATGTTAATAAAAAACAAATAGCACATAAAGTATGTTACTAAAGATTTGGTGGCTGAAAGCTATAAAGGCGACATAAGTGCAGTCTTTTTCAATCAAGGCAGCAACTCCTTAATATTTTGTTTTAGTTTATGCTTGAAGGTGGAATACTTTATGCACCATCAGACCGACTGTTGTCGAAATGTGGACTAAAATACCCTCTTCTCTAATAGACTAAATATTAAAATATTTTATTATGGGATATGCATAAGTGAATGTCAATATTTCTTGGTCTTGTTGACATTTTTGCAACGAGAAGAGTAAAGTTAGTACAAAAAGCTCACTAGATCGATTATATTGGCCGTTAAATGGACGAAGTGCTCTATGCACACAAAAAACATCCTACACAACGTTCGCGTCCCGACTATAAAAACGTTATTCATAACACCAATCAGTTGTTTCCCATTTTTTTTAAAATTTTACTTGAAAATTTGAAATTGCTTAGACAAACTCTTTCACTTTAATAGATTTTAGGTACTGCAACAAAGAAATAGTAAAATTTAACTAACATTTTACTTTAATTTTTCAACTATTCCGTACGTAAATAAACCCAATAATTGAAGGAAAATCTAAACGAATGAAAAATGTCCGTGTGAACAACACTTTAGAATCAGCAAGATACGTGGGAGGAAAATCGGTAAACATTTTTAATCGTACAATTTTTTTAATAATATTTAAATGTTTATAACTTTACTAATGCTGACTACAAATCAAAGATATGAAAAAAAAACTTTTATAATATTTTGAGCTTTAAATTAAAAAACTTTGTTAACAAGTATTATTTTTAATGATATTAATGTAAGAATATATAAACAAATTTAAATTTAATTGCTCCAAATAAAATATTCACAAATCAAGAAGGCCGCTAAAGTTCAAACCATTCTCGAGAGAAAGTTTAAAGTCTCGTCATTTCGACAATATTAACTCCTTTTGAACTCAAATGTATGATGTTTTTGAAATTTATATAATAAAAATATATAAAACTAAATGCTAAAATATATTCTAATACAGAATTTGATAGGAGAAATGAATCAATATAATTGTAACTATAAAAAGTTAATGTAGGTAATACAGCTATATATATACGCAAATCGAAGCAAATGAAGATTTTTAATTCTATTAACTTTTTTATATATATACATAGTATATTATTTACTTTTACAGTTTCACTTAAAAATTTTTAATTTTATTTACTTAACATTTACTTATCAACATTAAAAGCGATTTATTTTCCCAATTATGACCAATATTTCCTCAGTTGTCGCTCTGTGTGTCGAGTCGCCAGTTTGCCGCAATAAAACAGCTAGCGAGCAAATGCTCCGTCTCGTTATCTGCAATTTGATTATCATTAATTTCTTGCAATTTAAAGAAACCCATTTCCATTGACCACAGGCCACAGAAAATATTGATTGAAATACTTGAAAGTTTTGCTAACAAAATTTTG